CGTTTTTATCGTCAAAATGGAATTCTTGTATGTAGAAAGATTGAATATAATGCTGAAGAACTGACGAATGTATGAATACTTTGATGTTTGATGCCGAAAAAAATCACTGAGNTGTGATGTGTGATGCTGCATTGTGTAACTTGAAGATAATTTTAAATTGTTGCTGAAGCGTATCAGATGCAATCCGCTTCTCGTTTGTATTACTTTCATCTCTCACTTCAACTATATGCACGTTATCCATCATCGCATTTTTATCGTCAAAATGGAATTCTTGCATGTAGAAAGATTGAATATGATGCTGAAGAACTGAAGAATGCATGAATATGAATACTTTGATGTTTGATGCCGAAAAAAATCAATGAGGAATATTTTCCAGATTGGGTTGGTTATGTTCCCAACTGGAACGTCGTTCACTGGGATCGTTCAAATGTATTTCATCTTATCGATATTCAACTTTAGAAGACGCTTTACAAGTTTCGTTCGATATGGTGAATACTTTTTATGATCGGTATTTCAATCATTCATCAAATTCGAGATTCAGCGTTGAAATTCTGAAACGTCAGTAGATAATACGATCACAGATTTGGTTTTTATATAATAATAAGCCGATTTTCATATTTATATAATATTTTTTTGTAGTTGGCATTTCCACCGAAAGAGGTACTCTCATGTTTAGCTGTATTCCCAGCTGGTGAATGGCTTCCCGTTGAGGTATCTGCGTATGATTTGTTTTGTCATTACTTTCCTTGACTCAGTTTATTGGAAGAATGTAATATTCAGCGTTCCTGGTTCTATTAATAGCAATTTTGAGCATGTTTACACCAAACATTATTAGTTTCCTTGATCCATCTGATTCTATGAAATATTGATATTGTAAGTCTGTGAAATCGTACTGTTTGCCGATGCATGGAAGAGAACATGCGATGATTAATGTTATTCGGAACAGCCAATAACCATCCAGTGTTCATTTATTTATTTTATAAATCGCCAAGTCCTCCCTGATGTTGTTCAGTGTAACTCACCACCTTCCAAAAGTGGTTATTGGTAGTTTACTTGATAAACATCACTTGATTGCTGGTTGCTCTACACAGTAAGGAATTCCTTGGAAGATTGAGTCAGTTTTGAAGGATAGATGATATTTCAGGTGATTTCGTTGATTGCACCAGTCGACGTGACCGATCGTGAAGAGTCTATCTATGCAACTGAAGAACAACTCGCAATTCTCGCAAAACACAGTTTTCTTGATGAAAGACATCTGGAGCACAATAATCAGAACTGCCATTCGCAATTTGAATACCGCATTCATCCTCTGATTGCTAATTTTATCAAGCGAACAATCCACAAGGATCCAGCATTTGTTGAGGTATTCATTCTCATTGTGATGATTGAATCCATCATTTCAACATAGTGTAAAAAGATTTCACTAAAACGGACTGTGCAATCTGCAGTATTGAGCTTGTGCACCAGCAAATTTTAACTGAAAAGCTATGAAATTTCTTTTGTGGTGTATGATAATGCACCAAATTTGAATAGTTGACATGATAATCATTGATATTCTGTCTCGAGTGATGCTCTCGAAAAAAATTATTTCATAAGTGGAGATGGATTTTCAATGATTGCTCTTCTTTTCTTCTAATTTCTCCATTATTGGTTCCCATAGTTGTTTGCTCATTTCTGAATAGCAGGTATTCAGACATTAAACTTCAATTCAGGACAGCTTCATGTACGATCTGATTTCAGGAGCTGCGTTCAATACTGAAAATACGATTGAGAGATTGTGTTAAGAATGGGAA